GCCAGCGGCTTCGCCCACGTGGTCTTGTATTATACATAAAAACCTTCCTTTTGAATCACCCTATCTATGAAAAAAAAACCGCATCAAAATTCGTTGCGTAGTTTTAAATATTTAAGCATTCTTAGGGATAGAAAGACAGAGAAAGCGACTTTGTTTTATACTATGTAGTGATTTTTAATCAATTTTGCATTGACAATGCTATATTGACCTTTCAATAAAAATGTTTAAAAATTATTACAGTCCCAGATACCACGAGATGGGATTCAAATAGGTTCAAATAGCTCATAGGTTATAATCCCATCTCGGAGTACCTTTGAGAATTTTGTGAATTTTTAAGATTTGTTTTTAGTTATCTTTGATGATACCTAAATTATATTTCAATTAGATAAGTTTAACAATAATATATATAGTTCTGGTTGCATACCTAATAAAGAATGGGCCATAAAAAAGTCCACCCATAAGTAGGAACCGATGAAGGGTATCTTTTTTTTTGCTCTGGCAACTCTGGCCGCCTCTCTTGTCAAATTTTTTGTCCGTATTTAAAATTATAATTTAATTATTTATTCAGTTTTAAATAAGTAAATTTTGATAGTAATAGTGAATATGCATCATAGTTAATATATGGCAGTGATATCTTAGTGTAAAATTACATATGTGTTGAATATTCATCGAAATAAACCATAGCAAACTATCAACGGACTGGAAGATTTTTGAATCAGCTGTTCAAAACAAATATCAATAAATTTATTTGGACTTCTACTTCTGAAACCTGGGGAGTATTGTTTTCATATACACACATTAATTATTACGGTTAATCTTTTGGTTTTGTTACAATTGAATTCATATTATTTCTTTTTTCTTAGAACCTATCATTTATTGTCAAGATTTAAAGTAATTTGCAAATCTTAATTACAATTGTGTCAGTGAATAGAAACGAGCAGTCATCAAAAAGTTCAAGTTCAAGTGGGAATAGGCCACATTCCCACTTGAACTTGAACTCTTTGATGACTTTTTTTTAGGTTTCAAATTGTTAGCTTTGGCATAAAGTTTTGAACAGTGACTCAAATCTTATTTTATCGTAATTTTTCGTTTGAAAAAAACTTCTCAATAGAGCCTTTAGTAGGGATGGATCTGATACCGGCGCATGGACGATATTGCGAGTTTTCCGATATATCGGAATAAGCGATATTAATTTGCCGGCACACCGATATATTTGAACTTCACGCGCTGTATACATATAACACACCATGCCACACTTAATTCGTTCAAGTAAATGTAGCACAATTTGTCTACGATTGGGGAATTTTAACGGTATTCTTATGTATTTATTCCATTGATTTGCTTTGTCCACCTCACATAGGCTACTCATTTGTTGCTTTTTGATGTGTAATAATATATTAGTTTTTAATGACTATTAATACCTTTCGAGCTTCCTTTGAATCTTCGCTGTCTATATCAGTTTCGTGTCCATGCATCACTATTTTTTCCGAGTGTTTCAGTAGTTTTTTTCATCAGATAATCAATTAAAATCTTTTACGTATATATTTTCGCAATTAAATTTATTATTACGAAAAAACAAAAAAATAACACTTTTGAATATGGAGCTTCTTCTTCTTCCTTTATTAATGGCTTATCTGCGTATTTCGCACAATTCTGCCAATGTCAAGTGAATAAATTATATTTTACATGAATATGGAGCTGAAACGCTACAATCCGTACATGAGAAACGTCTATGTCAATCACGATGACAACCCATAAGAGATGTCAAATAAGATTGTGAAAATTACCGAACATAGCCTGAGAAAGTATTCTAAAAAACTCATTCACTGTAAGTTGCAAACTTTAAATTACAACGATTGCATAGTTATACTTTTTCCATACAACACTTATTACATAAATTTTGGATCATTTAACCTAGGACACAAAATAGGTATAATTAGGTCAGATTATTCTGCTAACTCTGAAAGTAACAGCGAGCTTTAACGTTACATACACAGACCAAGAAGAAGATACTACGTATGTTACATATCATGAGCGGCGTTTACAGATCACGTCATTTTGACATCTTCGTTTGTTTTAAAAGTAAAAATATAATAAAATCCTATACCTTTTTGACTAATTTATTTTTAAGATACGTATTCCAACATCATTTCTATCAACCTTTAGATAAACTATCACATTATGTTGTTACTGCAGTGCCCTATTCACGTTTTTAATGTGTCAAAACCCTTATAAAACAAAATTAGTAATAGATATATCTACAATACAATAGTTTTCCCGCGGACATTAGACAAGTTTTTCACAAAATTGAGAAATTACCTCATCAATAATGCCGATGAGATGAGGCTCATGATTCGTCATTCAAACCGTAATTTATATATTTAAAGAACAATAATAAATAAATAAAATAAATACGCAACAATTCACACATATTCGTAAATAAAAATAATAAAAGCAGTGTCATGAATACGAACATTGTGCTAAAAACGAGTTTGGTTTTAAAGGAGATTATTGAAAAAGTATTCTTAATAATTCAAGAGAATTTTGTTCATAATTGAGCATAATGAACAGAAATGGATTTGAGGATAAAATTAGTGGTACATACCATAGATAAATATCTATGAAGATACTTATCTATGTTAGCGATCGACCCTCCTAGACATATATAGATATTGTGAATAGAATTTGGCTATCCATCCAATGCTAATTAGGTTTACAGAAACAGCAATAGCTACTGGAGATAGGCATATTGACAGTTAGTCATGTTTAAGGCGACCCATACAACTATAATAATATTGCGCAATGTTGATGATTGACCAATATTATTGAACATATAGGGGTAGTATTGAAGATTATGCAATGATTGAGTAAATGATTGAGGACTTTTAAATTTTATTGCACAATATTTATTTATTGTGTCTTGTGTATGGTATATTGCCTAATATTTTTTAGTCTATAGTTCGGAGCGGTCGCGTACGCACGCGTGTATTTTTGCAGTGAAAATGGCACAAAAAGCGAAAGAAAAGGAACGAGAATTCATTATCGAGTGCATTCAATTATATCTTCGTTTTTGCCGTTTCGCTACAATTAAACAACACACGATAGCTGCAGCTAAATCTTTATCAGACATGGTGCACTTAAGAAAGTTATGACGAGAGCTCATCAATCATATTGTGCAATCATCAACATTGCGCAATATTATTGTACGTGTATGGGTCGCCTAAGTAACATATAAAAAACGGCCATTAAACAACTCCCGAGTTTTAGTGTACCGCCTGAGACATCTACAGCTATTAGCTGGCATCCTTAAGTCGAATAATAATAAAGTAATGTATTGTCAAAGACAAATAATTATTGATACTCCTTCCTATAACCTCTCATTGACGTCTAGAATCACGTCCGCAGTGAGCAATAACCATAACATGAAAAATTATCGAGCGCGAACCGAATTCGTATCGAGTATATTTGGCAAATTTGTATTTCTAAATTATTTACGTAGATGACGGCATATATATCAACATATTAAATAAGTATATAACATTTGTACTCCACATAAAATCGATTCAAATTCGATGGTTGGATATTCGTGCTAAGGGTGCAATCCGCGAGATTTAAACTACATAATCTTTGGTGTCGAATAATTCAACCAAACGTCATCTTAACGCTCTTTTGATGTTATTACAAAACCAATCAAAAGGTATTCCATTTTTGTTATATGCGCTCTCTTAACAGTAACCTGAGCCATGAAATATCACTCGTTCAAAATGATCTAAATTCTCAGAAACCACACAGTATACAGATGAATGGAAAAAGTATTACATATTTGTATTGTATATTCATTATCTTTGTGAATATTCAGATAAGGTCTCAAAATTGGTGTGTTAAATATATTACTTTAACTAATATGGTCAGGTCATAATGAAATAAATATACATGTAATTATGTAACCTTAAGTCATTTGCGTCAAGCAGGATAAGTATAAATTACATTACATTTTACCACCAAGAACACTACCCTTTAGAACAGAGGTTCTTAAAGTGGTTATTGTTGACCCCTTGGGGGTCAAATAGATTACCCAGGGGGACAAAACGAAAACTATATTTCAACCCCTAATTATTAACACAAGTTCTTATTTGAAATTTACAAAATACTCTAAAAGTTGTGTTCATGTTCCAATTTGTAATAAAACCACTAATATTTTGGTATAAGTATCATTGGTGTACTTTAAAAAATATATTTAAAAAATAAATTACAATGACCCTTACACCCAGGGGTCTGATCATATTAAAGAAAGAGGTCTCTTGCCCAAAATAGTTTGGGAATCCCTGATTGAGGGACTTGTACAAAGATCATATTGCAACATTCCTTGGGTGTTAGTCAGAATATGAAATCATGTCTCAAATACAAGTCTAAGTACCAACTAAGCTAGTTTTGTCAGTGATATGATAATGATTTATCCAATACTGCATCTTTTATATCCATTCCTCTGGGCAGAAAAATTATAATATTTGGGTGAAAATTACATCGAGAGTCAAAAAATTTAGGCTCCTTTTGATTAAAATAAAAAGTTGGTGCGCAAGTCCCATACTAGGAACCAGTAGCACATCATAACAACCTTAGAACTAAAATATTAAGATTTTTGTGCATTTCCTGCCATTTAAAAAACATGTATCTGAAAAAAATTGTCTTATCCGAATTGACAATCATTCATATTGAACTCACCCTATATGGGTGGCAAAAGCTAATTTTAAGTAAACATTAAGCTTCAGATAAATCAATAAGCCACAAAATTATAAACAAAACTAAATCATTAGATCATCTTTGTCCAAATGGAGTCAAATATTTAATTGAAGTGTTTACTTTGTTTGTTTGTTGTTTATTATTATTATTCATGCTATAAAAAATGCTTATTATATATGCTATTAATTTTTTATACATTGCTATTAAATATAAGGCATATTTAATAGCATGAATAATATTATATAAAACTGAGTACATACCAGTCTCAGCATTTCACTTATACCAACTAGGTCTGGACCGTTATTTGTATTACTTGGTGTATTTTCAGCATCACAAAATCTATAGTCCAACCCTTCATCTGAAATAAAAACAAAATAAAATATGAACCACATGACAGTGCATTCTAGAATTACAAGACTAAGTTGAGGCAAAGCTTTATTTATATATAATGAATATACTTATATACTTAAGAATTTTGTGCTTACAGAAAAGTAGATTTTTAAGCATTTTTCATTAAGATAATTTTTCAGTATTGCGAATGCAAAATTAATCATATATAAATATTCTTTAATTAACTGAGGGTTACCATGTCTTATCATGATAATAATATTTTTTTTAAATACTCTATTTTGCTACTTCGGTTACTGTGTTTGCTTTCCAACATCAATATAGTCAGTTTACAATCAGTCTCATTAAATAGGGATGAAAACTGGGTGAAAAAATGCAATTCTTTTTAGTCCGTCAGTCAAATAATAGAAAAATATTAGATACATATTTTTTTACTACAATTTAAAATAATGGCTTAGATAATAGGCATTAAAGTTAAGGAGTAGGGGCTTCCTATGTCACAGTATTTTAGAAAATGTACAAAAGTGTGACTTCAAGTGACATTTCCACATGTATCGCCCTCATTTACTAATTATGCAAAAATAAGTACTTAATATTTTTCAATAATTTACCTGATGGACAAAGAAACAAAAATTTTTCATCATCCCTATTGTAAATTATCATAAGTTTAGTTTACATTCGATTATAAGAAGTCTAGTAAGATGCTAACAATTTTATAGTGATGTAGTATAAATTTGCCTCAATTTAAAAATAAACAACCACATTATTTTTAAAGAGGGATATAATTCAATTAATTCCTCAATTACATTTCTACATCATAATTTAAAAAGTTTCTCTTTTTAAAAACAAAACAAATATTTTATATAATAATACAAGGAGAAATAGGTAAGCAAATAAATCATTCCAATTAGACAAACACATAAATATTACACAAAACAAAAAATGCATTTTGGTACATCTAATCTTACCTTCTTCAATCCTTCGAGGTGGCGGCGGCCTTTCACCACTTACTATGAAATCATCTACTCCATTTGGGATTCCAGTGAACTGAGCCAAGTCTCTGAGAACATCTTCTTTTGAGCGCCAAATGTTTCTGCCTGACATATTCTACCAATTGGATTATAATTTAGAATAAAAGGTAGACGTAAATGCAGGTAAAGGGTGCCGCTGAAATTTACAAAGGAAATGTAAAAATGTGTTCGTAAAATCCAATGAGTAAAATCAGTTTCTCCAACGGACACAAATTGCAAGTTCTTACAAGTCAAATCAAGACGGTAATTTTTACTATTTCTGCAAGATAAAAACGGTAATGTATTATTATTTATATCTACATTAGTGTAGAGTATTTATAATATATTACTTGAATCAATAGTCGATCAAACAATAAAATTACTTACGAAGCCCAATTTTGACAAATTAATTGCACTACATTAGGTGCAAGTTGCTAAAAGTCAGAAGCACGTTAAAAGAAAAAAAAAAAGACAAAACACCCGTCAACAAGGCGAGGTCGAAGTAACTTTATTTTTTTTTTGCACAGACCAAAATGTTAAACGTATCTCGTACATATCATATCAATGAGTTTAATAACTAGAGAAGCGATTCTATTCAACAGACGCGCCAAAAAGCGTAGCACTTTCCCGAAATCAGGACGTAGCTTTGCAAATAATATTTATACTAAATAGGCTTATTATATTTGTCTCTCTCATATATACCATTAAACCTTAAATTAAACAAAGACAGAATATGTGCGAACGACAGAATGAACATAAAAATGGGAAATTGATATTGTATTGCCAGATCTCGAAAATTCACCCATTTTGATGAATGAATGGACAAGTAATGTAGATATATGTATAAAATCAATGAGGAAGTATTTAAAAAATAAAAATTACTTCCTGAAATCATACTAGATGTCACTCGCGATTTTTGGATTTTGTTTATGATATTCATTCAAATTTTATTTCTGACGTAATAAATGTAAATTGAGTATTTTAGATTAATAAATATGACATCGTTTTGTGTTTCTTATAATATCTCACTTTCAAACTAATTTTAATTTATTTTAATTGTAAGTTTAAGTTGTTTATTATGTTACGTGTAAAGGAACGATGTTTGGTTGATACGTCAACATTAATGATGAGCCAACTTATTGGTTGCTCGTAACTTTCGTCGAATTCAGGTTTGGACTGGAGAACAAAAATGATGATGAAGATGAAGTGTCATTATGCATCCACAAAACCAATGATATTATATAAATATCAAAATCAATTCAATCTAGACTGTTACATAGTACTTGTGAAAGTCGAAAACTTTACCAATGGTTCGCAAAACTAAGGCGGGAGATCTCTTACTGACAAGAAACGGCAAGAAACTCAGCAAGAGCTGCTTTTTTAATTTCAACTAAACAACTCAACTATACTATATTTGAGGGATCGTAACCACCTAACGCACACGATACCACCGCAGAGATTTTAAGAGACCATAACTACTCTAGGTACTTAGTAAATAATATATTTCAATAAAACGGATTTCTAGAGTAGTTTGTGTAGGAATTCAAACTATTATTAACAATATTATTGTAAGAACCAAAAAGAACCAACACATGGCTCGACGTCCGCCGTCGACATGCAAGATCAGTAGCAATATAATAACTGTACGTGTCTTTGACATTTGAAATTTAAAGTTATAACCTTGTTGTTCGTTTAGAGCAGACGTTTCTTGTTAATTGCTGAATGTTTATTAAGATGATTTAATTATGAATATAAGATTTAATAACTGATAATAGTTTTATAAAGTCTTAATTTCGAAAGCACAAGTTATTTGCACGTTACACTTTGCATAAACGTCATTTTAGCCAGCAGTTATATTATTTTGTACGAATACATAGTATATTTGATACATATCGGGTAAGTTTATAGATAATAAACGGATTTTTCATAAAAAATATTGTTTTTATGACTTTTGTTGCTGATTAATAAACCCTATTCATTCATTCACCATACATAATATAAAAAAAATATTGAGACTTGATGTAGTTTTGTTGTTGTAAGTTCAACAAACAACTAATAGCAATAAAACTAACTTACCTAGTTGTTATTTTTTCAGAACTTTTGTTAAATATTAAAATGAAAAATTCCTAGACCTACTATGACATAAGTACCTATTTTATTTATAAAACGTAATAGTATTGTATACCGTAGTTAGATGCCACTTTTAATTATATCACAGCATTCAATTGATTTCCATAAATTTAAAAAGCCTCTGTGCTCACTTCCATTATGTTAGTTTCCATTTTCCTCTATACAAATAAAAAATAAATTTATTCAATGATTACTTTGTATTAATCGAGTTGCGATTGCATAACTTGAACTAGTTAAATTTCAACTCGATATTAATCCAAGTTATCAGATCCATAACAACACTAACAAATCTATTCTCTTTGGTTTAACGTCATGAATTGACGTTTAGATCCAACAATTTGTGCTGCCATCTAGTAACATAATTTTTTGTAGTTTCTTTATTTTTTTTAAATACTTCCTCATTAGTAAAATACTGTAACTTTGGAAACACTTTGAAAAAAAAACAATCACGAAAGTAGGCTCTGTGCATAAAAATCCCTTTGTTTTTCAATAAAGTCAGTGTTTAAGACAAAAACATTTATTAAAGTTCATAAAAGATCAAACAAAGGTTAAATTTTACGTATTTTCAAAAGTTGTATCTCGACAACTTACGAATTCCACGCCTTGAAAAAATTAAATTAACTTTAAAAAATTAAACCACTTTAGCATCTGTGTGCGTGTATGAAAAAAATATCAACATAATTTGCGCAGTTGCCCATACTAAAGCTGAGCCATATAATTAGAAAGAAGAAAGAAAGAAAAGAAGTTTGACCACATTTGTTCATATACAGTATACAATCACTCATGAAGTAACAAAAAAAGAGCGGTCAACTATTAAATAAAGGAAGATATTTAGATGAATTATAGCCACGTTAAATAAAAAGAAAAGGCTCCCATATAGTTGGGAAAATTGAAAGTGAATAGCAGTGGCAACACTGACGACAAAATGTCAAAATTTATTTGTGAAAATTAAATACCTATTTTTATTTTATAAACTGGCTTAAGTTTTGTTTTTATTGCCAAAAATGTGAAACTTAAGTTAATGACTTAAGTGTGAAACTTAATATTCTTTCGTATTATGTGTATTTGTGAAAGAGTATTGTATTTTATGGACTGTTATTTTTTTCGTTTTTGCGGAGCATTTTTTTGTACTTTCTCGGCGAGAGTTGAATGAGTATTGAAGTGAAAACCGGAAAACTAAGACAAACGTCTTAGTTTTAGTAGCTTCATAATTTTTGGTATGTATTGCGTATCTAAATATATTAATATCATTTGATGAATTGTCTGTTAATGGGTTTGGCAATTAATAAACTAGTTTGTGGTCTACTGCTAAACTATTTTGCTAATTAGAGTTGCTTGAATAGTCCAACACAGCACAGACGGTCTGCGAGGTGACTGAAGACGTCCGTTCCTCTCTGCACTACGCACCCGATAGCGTGCCTTTCGTCTCGCTCGCTTCTTCGCTCAATAGGGTATTTGACACTTTTCCGAAAACTATTTTAAATCGTTATTTACTACATTATATTTCATAGAAATCTTTTCTATTTTTGGCGAAAATTATTGTTAAAATCTAAATAGCCAAAATCGCACGAAAAATGCTGCTCTATGTAATGGCGCTGATCGTGAAGTCATAGGCCAATAAATATGTCAAATCGATAAGAAAAAGTATAACTTTTTTATTTCATATCAATTAATTTTAAGGTTTTCTTTTTGTTTTTTTTTTCTCTATATCATAAACATTTTACGACTCATTTATATTTGTTGACAGGGCTCGCACTTCACAGCCTTTCGACCTACAAATTGATGAGACATTAGTACGAAAAAGAATGTACTATTTTTTTTTATACATGCATGTAGTATATCTGTCCACTAAATGTATGTCACTCGAAAATTATATGATTTTTTAAATTAGTTTTTAACTTGGAGAACAGCATATATCATCAAAATCGACTTTGTAATTTGGAATTATTATATTAAAGTTCAAGAAATGAAAAAAACATCTAAGTTGCTCTTTTTTAAAATTGCTGGCGTTTTCCTTATTTCTTGGATTTTTTAAAAAGCTTAGTAAATGATTCTTTATTTCTTCTTTTTGGCAGTTCTTATCAGCAGAAGCGGCAAAGTATTCTGTTATCTGTAAATTATTATAAAGTACTCGATACCTACAGGCATCGATATTTTACGTATCTTTTAACACTACTTTGACATGACAGCTGATGACGTCACGGGTATCTATAGTAAACAGAATCGTTATTGGTTGTGACGACCACCAATCATAGGACCTTTTCGTCGTTGAATAAATTCCTAAAAATATTGCATTTCTTTACGTTATTTTACTAAATCTAAACATGTTTTTTCTGCAGATGATAAGAAATAAGCTTTATTAGATTATTATCTATCAGGATGACCACAAAATGCAACTTATTTTCGTTAGCGTCAAATACCCTATTACTTTAAAAAAGATTTTAAAAATAAACTAACTTAAGGATATGGAGACGAAAATATATTTATTTTAGGATAAATACACATTTGTACTTTGTAATTCCTGATGACAAATTAATATTTAATCTTAATGCAGATGGCGTAGGTCAAGGTTAGATTTGCACCCTACTTTTTAATTTGCTTCAATGAGGTATTTAAAAAAAACATTTGTACCCAAAATCAAACTAGATGTTGCTACGGTACTTTATTGATTTCTCCATGACAACCCATTACGGTTTTCTTTCATGTATAAGAGTAAATTAATTTTCAAAACTCAATAAAGAAATCATATTTTATTTGTACCTTTTCGTATTTATATTGATACCTAAGTTTCGAACTTTTTTTTTGGTCCATCGTTTCCTGCAAAAATCAACTTTTGCTAGAGGTGCCTTTATAGTGCTTTCTCATTGGAACCATAAAACACATTAAGTTCTTCTACAATATCATTCTTTTAACCAAAAATTATTACTTTTCTATTAGTTAACAAGGGAAAACGTGTAATTTACAAATATTTATACAATAACCGACGAAAAATGGCCGCCCACACACAGCACAAAAACAGGTGTTATCTACATATTATCTACTCGTTGTTTTATTAATATTAACACTTAAATATAATTATTTGCAATGTATTTAAGAAGGCAGGCTCCTTCTTCCTCTCCTCTCGTAACACTGGGTGGGTCGTCGACGTTTTTTCCATCAACAAAACGAGACTGTTTATCGTTCAACGTATACTAGTCTAAAAACTGTTTTTTCGACTAGTTTATGTCGTAGATGGACTGAACGGCACAAGAAATTGCGTCTAAGCTAGTTTAGTTGACGTAGTTAAAAACATGGAACGGTTTTTAGAATAAACTGTTCAGACAACTTTGTTGTCATCGACCCGACAACGGTTCAATAAATTTGTGGACGGTGAAAATGAACTTTTTTTCATACTTTTATCATTATTATTGTTAATTTTCAGAATTGTTTATTTAAAAATACATAATCTACAAGTCGAGATAGTTATTTGCATTTATTTACTAAATTATTCAAACTGATAATACAATCAAAGATAATAATAACGTAAAATGCTACTTCTAAAATTTCACTTTGAACTACAACCATCCGCATTAAAATAAAAAACTGATTTGTCATTTTAATTACATAGTTCAAATGCGTAATTATCCCAGAAAAGTCATGTACTAGCAACTCTATACCCTTACATTAAAAATTTGTTTAAATTATTTTAACGTAACCGAGCGAGCGAGACATACAACATGCTATCGGTCGCGAAGAATAGAGATAAATATAATCGCCTCGCAGACCGATTGTGCGGCGTTGGATTGGGCAAGCAACGCTTATAACTTACATTCACGCATAAACCAATTTATCACTAGACCGTAAACTAGTCTATCGAACTCAATAATAAAATAAAAAAATGGTTTGTTCATTCAACGCCACAACCACTATCCACTAGCTCTCTAAAGGTGGGTGATTTTTATAGGAATTTGTTTAGGGTATTTTTTCAAAAATATGCTTAATCTAGGGTAAACCGAGACAAAGTCTGGGGTAGGGTAAAAAAATGACCTAGTAACACTGCTGTGATCTAATCCATATCTCGGCTAAAGGACAAGCATCCAAGCCAAGAATAAACTATTAAAAAAATTACTAATCCATATCTACTCACGAATGTCAAAATAAACTGGATTGTGCAGTGTTTCATTAAAAACGGGCAGAGTGAGAGAGTAAATTAGTAACTCTTCATCTCTGTCTTAGTAGTTTTGTAGGATGTCCACGCGTTTTTAATAATTTCATAAATAGGTAATATTTAATAATTTATTTATTTATTTCATATGGACAACCAACAGCATACATATTTCAACTTACTTCAGTAAATTACAGTTAGGTTTAAATCTAATATATATACCAATTATAGGTTGACACAGCATTGTTAACATATAAGTGTAATTTTAGACGACACCAACAATTCACTCAACCACTGATAAAAACACCAATAAGAAGGCTAAGGCACTCTCCGGTTCTCAGTGAAAAGTCAGATCAAAATACCTGTAACACAGATCACAGGCTTTCAGAGAGCACGTCAAACCCAGTCCCTTACCCAACCCAATCTAGTCAATAGAACTAAAGAATTCCTGAATCTGAGCTTTAAAACTTAACTGCGAGTTGAAAAATATATCTAGATTAGGCAAATAAGAACCGACATCATTATATGCAGCAGAAATGCGAGGCAACGGTGAATGCCTAAAAACATTTGTCACATGATAATGTTACATGACCTAAATTAAACATTTACAGATAGAATTTTATAAATTTTTACAGATATTATGAATGATGCTGTTAGAAATGTAACCGATAAATTAGTTTTTATTTATCGCTTTACCGATATTTATTTTGTAAGAAATAAAACAAGTACATAAATGTTATTATAATCATCTTTAATGTATAAATCAATTAAAGGGATAGAAACGTTTTATTTTTATTAATTGTATTAGAATACAACGCATCATTTTATAACTTTGGCTGGTATTATTGTCCTCCATTTTTCAGCTAGACTTTTATCCTTTGGGATCCTAGAAACACAAGAGCAATTTTGTCATGGTCAGCATAAGAAAATTATTACTTTATAAATATTTATACAAACTAATGTGTAGGCCATTCAGATATTTTCCAAAACATAAATAAGCTAGTTCTCGTTTTTCATTTTCCAAATAACTTTGTACCTACCGTGAAAATATTCAAGCTTCTTGAATTTATGATATTAATTTCGCAGTGCATGACTTATTAATAAACATTTTTACTGTAATGTTAAGCAAGTAAATTTTACAGAGATTAAAACGAAGAATGACGGGTAGCGTAGGTAAAACTTATAAATGTTTACAATATAAACATATGAATATTAATTTAAATCAAAGTTTTGTTTCTTGATCGTAGACACCCTATTTCATCACTGTTTAATAAATAAGGAAAACAGCTTACCTGTGGAATGTGAAGTCACATCCGTGATACCATTCATTTTCGCAATCAGCCAAGCAAAACAATATACCATTTTGATGTAAATAATCGAATTTGTAAGTCAAAACACAAATAAACATCAAACATTGTTTATGTTGTCACATCGAGCGGCCATATTAATTTATAATATTGCCACTTAAATGTAACGAAAAACTACTAACACGACATCGGTTTACATTATTATTTTAATTAAATCACATTTTTACTTAAAAAACATATCAACTATGTCTATTCAATATATTTACTATTAGATAATAATTAAAATTACCTAGTGATGTCTTTAAAAAAACCATAAAATCTCCTAATTGCCAATAATGATTATTTAATTTTCCAATGGCAACTTGTTAGACAAGGACCTACTACTACAAATCTAATATCTCTAGTAGACCGTTTTTCTACTCTGAAATGTGACATAGAAAAATAAGCCTTATTTTATAATTGATAAAGTGTAAGTTTGATTTTAAGAAATATGTCAGTACGCAATCCAGTTTAACTTGACATTCGTGTTTCTACATATTGTTAATCTGTGATCCACATATTTTTGAAGGATTGGGTCGCTAATTAATAAATTAAATTATTTTACCCTTTAAATACTCCACAACTTGTTGAGTTAGTTGATATTAAAGATAGTTTAATCACTGTTGATATGGGATTATAATGGCTGACGAAAATCAATGTGGAGATTCTGTACCGCCGAACAATGAGAAATCTGATATTGAATCTAAAGAAAATGGTGATGCTGCAAAGTTAGACAAAATAAAAAGTATGTATTTGTTTAGGAGTTGTCGTACAATCAAAAACTATCAAAACCATTAATTACTAACCAGTGACCACTGTTATATACCTAGACTGAAAGCTGATGTTGTTAATTGTGAAGTGAGAAACCTGTAACCTCATAGAAAATAGCAATAACAATTACTTTCCTTTTGACTTTTTACAGTTGATATTTTATTAAAGGCAACTGGAAATGCTCCAATAATGAAGAAGAAAAAATGGGCTGTTGATGCTGAAAAACAAATTGGTTGGATTATGGAATTTGTAAAAAAGTATCTAAAATTAGAACCTGATGAAAAATTGGTATGTTTTATGAAAAAAGTTACAATTATTTCATTTAATTACAAAAGTAGTCAGTCTCTTGTATTGGATTTAAGAAATGCTGTTTACTAAACAAATGTTAGATTTTTTAATTTGTATCCACTCAGGTTTACAATATCTTAAGTTTTTTACTTCTGTCAAATCTTTACTCTCGAACACAGTCATGACCGATCGATATTGCAATTGTGCCTCTCTGCACTCTAGATTGGTTAACTAGCATACTCTGGTTGTAGTGCACCCAATCAAGAGTATGAAACAATACTATGTGCCATCAACAAATGATCTGATGCTGAGGTCAGCTGTGCCACTGATAGCATAGGAGGAAATTAAAACCCTAGATTACTTTTAACTTATTTTTTGTTAAAATCAAAGAGTACTAATGGTATTCAATTTTTATTACAGTTTTTGTATGTAAACCAAACGTTTGCGCCATCACCAGATCAAATAGTGAAGAATTTGTATGATTGTTTTGGTACAGATGGGAAATTGGTTTTGCACTATTGTAAAAGTCAAGCCTGGGGATGAACTAGGCTCGAAATAACAAGCATTGAAAAGAACCAAAGACATTCTAATCAGTGATAACATTATTTAATTTAAATAATAGTGTCCTGATACTAGTGCTGAGCCGTTTATCATGTGATTTTTTAAGCTACAAACAACATTTTTGCATAAATACAAAATATATAAATAAATTTAAATGCAATTTATAAATAAGTTGCATTGGCTTGCAGTTTAATGTATAAACATCGTATTTTGTGTTAAAAGTATATTTTGTAAATAAATATTATTACAATAGCATTAGGGTTTAGTTTTTTTTGTTAATCTATATTACCTACAGTTTTTAATTTAAGTAAAATAAACTGAAGATCTCTGTGGTCTTTCATGTCAGTTTCAAGACACCATTATCTCACAGTTATTGTGCCTGGGATTCCATGTACCACTCACGAATGCCCAGGGTTTTATGTGGGTAGCATAAAACCCTGGGCATTCGTGAGTGGTACATCTCATATCAGCAGGGTAGAGTCCCATACACGACTCGCCGCCCCGTCAGGCGACAGGGATAGTGCGTAACTCATTTCCGTGGGACAAAAAAAGTTTAAGATATCAAACTTCAATCAGAATTACCAATACCCATTGCTCATATATTAATTATACACCACAGAACACAGAAAAGAGGTTAGAAAAGCGATCACGTATCCTTTGTACGAAAACCGATTTCGCCAGTTTTGCCCCACTTCATCTGCCATACATCAGAGGGAATATTAGACTAAAGGGCCTTATTTTATAATAGATAACGTGTAAATTTGATAGAAATATATCAGTACGCTATAATTTGAGATTCGTGATATGCACGCACTTGCATTATAAACAAGCCAGTCAAAACGCTCCAATATACTCGTAACATTATTGTTCTGTGCTAGTAACTATAAGAAACGTGTAAAAGCCATTTGAATTTGTCTTATTACACTAGTGATTGACATAATTTGATTTAATTACTATCGATATTCAAAAACAACGGTAAGATACGGTACTTTCTTGATTTCTCCATGACAACTCTTCCGGTTTTCTTTCATGTATAAAGTAAATAAGTTTTCATAACTCAATAACAACTTATATTCTATTTGTACTTTTTCGTATTTGTATTGATATCTAAGTTTCGAACTTCAAATTTTAGTTTTTTAATATGTTAGTTAAAAGAAACGGAAATGATTGTCTTTGGTGAATTCGTTTCCTGCAAAAATCAACTTATGCTAGAGTCGCCATCTAGTGGAAGTGCTTTCGTTTTTTTAAATACTTCCTCATTAATAAAAGACAATGTGGTCTCAAAAATCATAAAAAAATCACATTTTTGATAACATTTCACGAATTTCGACAAAAACTAGTAAATTTGAGAAGTGTTCTTACTAATGAAAAGAAATCCTCCATTTGGACCTACTTGAGGATTGCCTTCTTGTTTTGCACTAAATATAGAGATTGCGTGGTAAAATTATAATCTTGTACATTTGTCCGAGTCGTGGCTACGCTGCCACGCCCACAAGGCCCTTCTAACGTCTTTCTCTGTTCTGTGTTATATACTCTAATGCTCTTCTCAGCTTTGCCTTGGAGATACTAGATTCGCTCTGCTATCCCGTACTCATTCTAGTCGATTGTTGACCTAAAGGAATTCCGAATAAAGTTCCTTTTGCATATTTAACTATAGGTAAGATGATTCTTTGGGTTTTTATTAAAAGCTATCACCATATTGAAAATCTAATTGTGTATAAACAAATTTTATTAATAAATATAATAAATAGTGATTGCACTGTAACATGTTATTTCACTGCAATGATTTTTCGTAAAATTTGTTATTTCCTGTCACCCCCACCACTGCTGACAAACTCCTTACTTGTAGTTTTTGTTGGCAAGAAATCTGAAAAGAGAGTGAAGTCTTAAAATATTTACTGGGTTAACATTTGCATTAGTTCAGTGTTCTAATCATACATAGATTAACATGTACAAAATAGAGCATATTGTGGTAGATTTACATAGTCCGCCACGAACAAGAAACATTTCGAAGATCTCACGCAACATTAGAGCCTATAGCGGCATATTGATCGCTCGTGAACTGAAAAGTTAGCTCTAGACTGTTATAAGAATAAATTAAAAAATATGTTGAATATTTTTTATAACTAAACCGTATTTTTTGTTTTATAATACTCGTAAATTATGTAGATATATATTTTCAAAGTTAACTTGCGATTTATAATCGGAGCATCGTCTGAAATGACGTCACATTTCAATAAACTAAACTTTGCTGCAAGTAGTACTCCTGTTGATTGAAATGTGACGTCACGGTTTGGAATATCGCGCAACGCATGTCATTGTTTCCGTGGGACGACACAAATCCATGAATAAAAATATGTTTTTACTATATAATAACAGTTTTTGGAGAAAAATAAACCTAAATGCGGTTTAAAAAAGTCAAGTAGCCTGTTGACTAAACTGACGAAAATTATATTGCCATGGTTTATTTATATTTTATTTGCGCTACCTCTGGCTGGAGGTCTGCAGCATTTTCCAGTTTTAGAGCCACTTTTGTCAGATTTGTTGGATCGCGCTGTCGCATCGCACGGGCAACAAGAGTGGACACTACTACGTGTTGTGTCCATAGCTTCTATCTTCTCTATCTGAAAGGTCAAAATTGTATATTTTTTTTTGTTTCTTATTATTAATTTTCTTTTCTTTATTTACATCTCGGTCCGGTGACTTGATAGCAAAATGGTAGCATTGGGGTCTACGATTCAGGAGACTAAATAATCCGATGATAGTCATCTGACGCAAGACAAGTTGAGCCATCAGTCCCATCATCTGCAGTCATTAACTGATCCTTACTGCTCCCATGTGATTAGACATGTGGCAGGGTCGTTCCTTTTGTTTTTATTATATAACACGGTCAAATTGTTGAAATAGCAGTTTATTTCTTCCATTTAGATCTCACTAGCTTTCCGCCAACGGCTTCGGCCGCGTTGTCTTGTATTATACATAAAAACTTTCCTTTTGAATCACCCTATCTATGAAAAATAACCGCATCAAAATCCGTTGTGTAGTTTTAAAGATTTAAGAATACATATGGATATAGGGTCAGAGAAAGCGACTTTGTTTTATACTATGTAGCGATTGAAAACGCCTAACTGTGGTTATGGACAAGTATGGATGTTCAAAAGTGCAGCTTTGCTTTTGGAGGTGTTTCCCCATCTCTTTTTTACAGGGGATTGAGAAAATCTTTACAATTCTTACGTAAGATCACAAAAAGCAAAGTTAATAAAGCAGTATGGGCCTGGTATAAAAAGGTATTAAAAAATTAAAAGAAAATCTATGTTCGAAATGACTAGTTCAAAAGGAATGTAAAATAAAGTATGATCTACTTTTGAAGGCGCCGCGGGCAATTTGATTGGTCGATCACCAGACGCTTTTTGCACAGGTTTCTCGGCCAACGGCAATCGAAGCTCTTTCTGTAACGTCTTCGGAGACTCCGCTACGCTCTTGCGATCTGTCGGCGGCTGTTCTTTTGGTAGATATTGCTATAAAAAACGGGTTATTTACACATTTTTATAAACGACTGAAATAACATCTTTTGCCTGATAAGAAGAACGAGTGAAAGAAACTCACCACCTCAAACAGATGTAACGACATTTATAAAAACCCGTGGCCTAATAGGGATGATGACTAATTTTTGTTTGTTTGTCCGTCAGGTAGAGTGTTAAAAAATATTAAACACGTATTTTTTATTTTTTCGTAATCATAAAATTACGACGTTACATTGAGTTGAAATTTCGCATGACGTCACGTTAGAGTACGTTTTCTACTAAACTGTGACGTAGCGAGCCCCCACTCCTCAACTTTAATGCCTGTTATCTAAGCTACTTCTTGTTAAATTAAGTAAAAAAAAAAATACGTATCTAATATTTTTCTATTATCTGGTTGGCGGACTAAATAGAATTGCATTTTTTTTACCCAGTCATCATCCCTATTGTCTTATTTCAAAATCTATCGCAATTTCTTTTAAAAGTATAGCGATTTATTGAATTGTGTTACTTTATAGTCACAATCGCTTTGTGAACGAATGATATAGAAACATATTAAAAACTTAGAAACTTAAAGTAATATTTGCATCCAACGCTTGCCTCAGACAATTTTTATTAACGAAATCGTACATTGAATATATTTAAAAAAATAGCCGCGGTCGCAATGGCTATTACATGTCAAATAGTTCTAGAGTGAAGCCCCAAGGCAGAACAACGAGCGCCACTGCGACATTGTCGCAGACAGCCGAGTAGGTCTGCAGACAGTTCGGCAGTCTTACATGAATAAAAAAATTATACTAGCAGAAACAGAATTTTATTTTCAGGTGTTTATAATCTGTCGCAGACAGATCAAAACCCTTCTGCTATGGGGGAGTGAAGTTCGTGAATATATCTCAAATATCGAATTGAAAGGGGTTGATAAAGATTTTTAAAATTACACAATTATGCCTCTGATCAGTACAATATTAATTGATGAAGTCACTTTCTATTAGAATATTCAACGTAAAAGAATAAAAATAAACTATGATAATGAGGGTTCGCAAAAATCCGATATTTATAATAAATATCAAAATATCCGATATTTATTATACCTATATGATCAATACTGCATTCACAATACTATACTGAAAATATTCTTAATATTCTGTGGTAGGGAAAAAGTTACATGCTTGAAAGATTAGTCAGACCTGTTAGGTTCTGAATAGCGAAGTGGTTAGAGCAGTCGCCCGTATTGCAAAAAGGCATGGGTACCAGTCCCATCACAGAGCGCCAATGACTTTCATTAAGAATATATCCAAGACATATCATGCATTTATGAAAACCAAAGTTGTTTTTTTTTTTTCTGATCGATCTGTCGTTTTCTAGTTTTTTTGGGGTTGGCAACACTGTCAGAGTTGTGCGGTACGTTCACTTACCTCCGGCACTCGCCACACGATGACGCTGCCCGCGGCGCAGCAGCTGACCACGTACCGCGCGGAGGGACTGAACCGGCAGCACGTGACCGCGCCCGCGTGACCCAGCCCCATGTGCGTGTATATGCCCTCCTGGTACTTCCACAGCTGACGTGCAACGATACAACGTGATATAAGCACCGTGAATTGCTGGAACCTTGTCTAAATAACAGCCTCGTGACGTCATATGAAAATAGAGTACAGATAGCACAAAAGGCAAGAGATAAATTATTGAAATATAAAATAATCCCCAAAAATATCCTTATGATAATTTAATAACTTTTAGTTTGTTAATTCATAGCGCGAAGTTTTGACAAAGAATTCAATATTGAGGTAAAAAAAATATGAAAAATAACATTTTCTTTGTAATAACCAGTGGTCGGAATTAGGTAGAGTTATTCATGTACTTACACTGATTTCATACAGCGAAAAAATAAAGTGGATATGCCTCAAATTCCGAGATTAATTTTAAAGAGCAGAAAAAATCCCGTGATTTTTTAAATAAAAAGTTATTTACTTTTACACAATTTAAACTACTGCACGCACGACGTTGCCAAACTTACATCAATGATAGAAAAAAAAAAGAAAGAAGAAATAAAGAAATAAAGGAATCCCGGGAAGGTCCACATTAATATCAACATTTCGATGCAAGTACATAAATAACTCTACCTAATTCCGACCTCTGGTAATAACGCGATAACAAACAGAAAGGATTTTTTTAAACAACTAGTGAAAGACGTTTTATATATTTGTTATTAGTGAAATTATGTTTACTAATGTTGAAAACCATTATCAGAGTTGGTAATATTTAAGTCAATCGTAACGAGTAACAACAAAATTTAATAATAAGAAAAGAAACCAACAAAAACAACAAAAATGATTTGTGATCCAACACATCCCAACTCCAAGTGTACTCGTCAACCAGTTGTTTATTTGTTAACGGCACTGATTTTTGAATAAAATTACGTCACGAAAAAGCAATGAGGATGTTTTTAAAAAACATTAGTTCTTGAAATCAAACTAGATGTCGCTACGTTACGTTCTTGATTTCTCCTTTCCGGTTTTCTTTCAAGTTTAAAATTAAATTAGTTTTCAAAACTCAATAAACAACTTATATTTGTACTTTTTCGTATTTGTATTGATATTAAAGTTTCGAACTTTTAAAGTTTCAGTTTTTTAGTATGTTAGATAAAAGGAACGGAAATGAATGTCTTTGGTCCATTCGTTTCCTGCAAAAACCAACTTTTGCTAGAGTCGCCATCTAGTGGAGGCGCTTTTTAGTGCTTTCTTTTTTTTAATACTTCCTCATTTGCGGGGATTATACCATGGGGTTGCAATATGAACATTTTATTTTTAATCGATAAAAGTGGTTATTGAGGGCGGCATCGGTATAAAAAAACAAGTTACGAAAATTGATGTGACAGACATTACATAGTGAAAGTATGGTATTAAAAATTACATATATTTTAGACGAATGATTTTCAACTTTGTTTACTAGAAGAATAACTGTCCCAAGACTTAGAAATATTTATATTAAATATATGTGTATTGGTTATTATAATTACGTATTATGATATTTTATACTATACATATCCTTACTGCATTTTTAGTTTATTGTATTAAACTGCTATTATGAAGCTGGCGTGGTGGTGCTTTCAAAAACCTAAGGTTGTTACGGAAGATCAGCGTCGGGTTGTCTAAGGCAGAGGTTCCCAAACATTTTTTTCTCGTAGATCATTTAAAAAAATTTACTGGTATCTATGGACCCGCTGCTGCTACATTTTTACCTAATCCCTATTTTTATTTCACGCCTACGTAGACCCCCGTTGAATCCCTCGTGGACTCGTGATGGTCCATCTGGACCACTTAGGGCATCCTAAGTGGCTTGCCTTTTCAGTTAATAGCAATACATCTTTTTCGTTACTTGTATGTTCACTGAATAAATAATTTTCTTTCTTTTCTTACTTATGTCACCCGCGTATAATGTAACCGCTTCGGGAAGCTCCGTCATACGCAAATTAAAATAACATTTCTCATTTATTACCTTGACTATCTGATCGTTTCCACCGGTGACGAAAAGTTCCCCGTTCCGGGTGATGTCCAAACCATTGATGGCACCCACTTTACTCGCTTCCAACTGTGCAACAAATAAGCAATTTAATTTGATATTCTTATCGCCTTATAAGTGCTCTCCAACATCTGCTCAGGTTCGGCATTCTCGTCCACCTAATGTGATTTTTTTTTTGAACAAAGAATTAATAAAAAATAAATTAACGTCCATCCATAATTGTTTTAAGTAATAATTATAATCTTTTTTTTTTTGTAAATTTAGCGTGCATAATGCTGTTTTCATATTTATTTATCTATACTAATAATATGAAGAAGAAAGACTTGATTTTTCGTTTGTTTCCTTCTTGGCGACGAATAGGCTCCAAAACTATGTTCTGGACTGATTTAAAAATAATTTTACTTTTGAGAAACTGCACCATACACGGTTGATGTGATCAAGGCGGATGAAGTTCGGAAAACATCTAGTCGTATAGTAAATCTAACTGCACAGTTTCAAATGTCCGAGATGAAATTCGGAATAACATACTTTGGAAACCAGGGCGACTGAGACGTCACGTTATGATTTTATGTATAACCCACAACAACAACTTCATAACATAAACCAACGAACCAATAGATAATAATAATAGATAGTTCCACTATACCTCGGCGCATTGCTTGACGTGTTCGGTCTGCGATACAGACGTTATGCCACTTTCGCAAGGGCCGGTCATAGGATGGGTGACCGAAAAGTTTAGAAGGCACGTTAATCATTTGGTTCCGGCTGCATCTACAGTCGTTTAACACCCATTTACCCACGCGGTGGGTTATATTTATGCCACATTCTATCCAGGTCAGGATCTATGGCGTCTTTCCTCTTCCCCCCCTCACCCCATGCTCCGTGCTTGTGCGCCAACAATCGGCATCTTGAGGTAATTCGCACACCGGTTTCAAAAAATGAACTTTTCTATATGATCTCTTGTCTAAGCGTTGGTTATCTCAGATATTCTTATAATACAAGGGCTTTAACTTCTCATCGTGACAACAATTGTGATGTTGTCAAGTTTTTTAAAAGGTTGATGATGATGACTGTACCTCTCTAGCAAGGTTGCCGCTGCCGGTTTCCCAGTAGGCGACGCGTCGGTCGGTGCCGCCAGTGAGCAGCTGACAGCCCTGCGGCTCGAAGCAGACGCACATGAATAACGTATTTGCATACATTACTTGCCGCCGTGACAGGGAACTATGAAAACAAACTACCTTTTATAGAAAAAAAGTATTAAATTAGATAGTTAACTATTTTTTTATTTTATAAATAAATAGTCCATTTATATTCGAGAAATACTACAGAAGTAACAGTATGTCTGCGACTAATAGTTTCGGATATACAGGGAATGTGGAACTGCTGCTAGTCGATCAAAAAAGCTCCCTACAAATGCAGACTAAAATGTGACGTCACACCTTAGTAGGGTAGTAAAACATAAGCGTGTCCGGACAATCTTAATATCTTTATTATTTGTGCGTTTATGTTTATAGTTGTTTGTTATTATTTTAAATTTATTGAACTAATTTAATGCCATATGTATTTTAGCAAATTTTTGTAATACCTAATTTCATTCAAGTTTTCAAAGTTTATTTTCCAAATTAGTGTTATAGAAATTAAATTATTATATATTTATAAATTAAAATGTCTTATATTTTCCGAACTTAAAACAGAAGCCGGTATTTTGTGTGTCGTTAATCTGAAATGAATAGGAAATGAAACTTTATATTGAGGCACTTGAGAGTATTAAAATAAAATTTGTTTTAGCATTATGTCATTGCTGCACAAAGTAACTATACAACGCGGATGAAGCCGCGAACTAAAACTAGTTATATTTACATCAGATCCCAAATGATGCAGGATCCATCTGTACCGGCGCTCACTGCTTCAGTATCGTTGGGGGACACCTGGATAGCTGACACGGGGCTCTTGTGTTCCTTCAGCACCTTCTTAAGACTTTGGCATTCCGGTTTGATATCCCAAACACGTACCTTTCAAGCACAAGGGCAAATTATTTATGACAAGAAAATCAAGAAAATGGCGTATTGCAAAAGTTAAGTGATTTCCACAAACTCAGGACCAGGACTACCAATCACTCAGTCTCAATTAAATCAATTTAATCTAAAATAGTTAAAATCGGGCAAACAGATACATCTCAGAGAATCATGTTGGGTATGTCATAAACAAATACACAAAAGTAAATTGGCCCTAGTTGCGAACCCTGAGGCACACCAGATTTTATATCTTTCAAGCTTGATTTGAATCTAAAAAGCACGATTCTAAAAATAACAATCGAATAAATTTAACATACTATCTTTGACGCCCTAACGAAGAAATATAATCATGGGGCACTCGATCAAAAGTCTTATAAAAATCTGATGGAGTAATTTCATATTTTGTACCTGTCCCTCACACCCTCCCGAGATCAATGTGCGTCCATCGTTAGTCATGTCCAACGCAGACGTGCCTTTATTATGCGTGTTGAAAATGCAGTAAATGAGACGTCCAGTTAACGGTGTGAATGCTCTTATGTTGCCATCGTTCCAACCTACAGGAGACATAAGAAAGATTATTGAAAGATATACACTCCTTTTATGGGCAGTCGTGTAAAAATCTCGAGCACGTGGGACTGATGAATAGTTTTAAGTATATTTCTATAATATAGCATTGTCAATCCAAAATGTATCCAAAGTTTTAAATATATATTTCACACATAAACAGTCGATCAAAAACTTTAGTAGAATTTATTTTTGCTAAGACTGTATGTTCACTTCCATTTAATCAATGCTTATATGAATATTCGAATTCAACAACGGCGTAATTTCAAAATCAATTTTATTTATTGACGATAATGTGCTGATACGAGACTATCGATTCTGTTTGTTTCACTGTTGAAAATGAAGTATTTTTTATAATCACATATAATTTATTAGATTATGAAACAAATAAAGTCCAAAATATATCAATAAATGTTTGCCAAATTTATAATATTACTAGGTGGATTGAAAAGTTCGCGGCATAACACATAAATACTTAAACTATTTTACTGACCTTATTCGATTAGTTTACTCTCTGGTTGTCAAATTGTAAAATTCTATCGCAATAGCATTAACTGTATTTAAATAAGACTGAATTTTGTGAGCCTTTGTGCAGCATTTTTAAAGAATGGAGAAAATTAAGCAACGTGCTGTCATCAAATACCTGTTTCAAAAAAAACTAACTCCAAAAGACATTCACGAAGATATGGCAACAACATTGGGGAAATCTGCTCCGTCGTATATGACTGTGAAAAAATGGGTTGCTGAATTTAAACGCGGACGAGAGAGTATTGAAGATGACCCTCGCTCTGGCCGGTCTATGACATCTACGACTGAAGAAAACATCGGGAAAAATCTGTGTTTTCCCCTGATTGGCACCTTCAGACTTTCATTTATTCCCAAACCTAAAAAAACACATTGGAGGTCAAAATTTTTCATCAAATGAGATCAATTTTTTCAAGGCCTTGATGTACGTTTTTTATGACCGGCATACAGGCGTTGGAAACCAGATGGAAGAAGTGCATAGAGTTAAGTGGAGATTACGTGGAAAAATAAAATTACTTTTGCTTATATTTTATATTGTTTTCTTGCTGAGGCCGCCAACTTTTCAAACCACCCTCGTAGATACTTCTAGGATTCAGATTGGTAAAAAAAAAAACGAATTTTTGGAGTAAAAAAATATATAATCTCCATGCTACGGCAACGGAAAAAGTATTGACGATTCAAAAGTGCTCATTTGAATTAAGAATAAATCGATTTTTAAAATCAATACTGACCAGAAACTATAGATTTTCCGTCACCACTGAACAGTACTGCCGAGCACGTGAAGTTCGGTACAACTATACGCAACAACTCTTGACATGTCTCCAAACACCAGACGCGTACGTCGCCCGCACCCGCCGTCGCGAATACACCAGACATACCTCTAGATATGTATAATAAGACTATAGAAGAAACGGATTATCCTCCGATAAATGAATCTGGAAGGAGGAGCGGGAATACTTTTCCTATAGGTACTCCGATTGAATGAATTTTGTTTATATCACTTATTTTACTTAACAAAATTATTTTAGTATAAATCAATAAACTTCAAATAATGGTTTTAACTGTACTTTCGATTACGTAAAGTAAGTGATAAAAATAAAAATCATTCCATCAGAGGACACGGAAAATGTATTCCCGCTTCTCCTATCAAACCTGTTAGAGTTTGGCAAGCGAAACGTGACACCACCTATTTTTCCGTTTTCATATGGCAACAACATAGAACTGTTAGTTTGACACTACGTTAGACAATTCAAGAATATTGAATTTTGTTGTTTTTGCGAATTTGAACTTGTGTTTTTGGTTAAAAATTATGTCGAAGCCGATAAAAAGTTCATCGAGGAAACTTCTTTCCATCATGATTGACAAGTTTACTGAAGTGAAAACTGAATTAAATAAAAATTTCATGGAGAAATAACAACGATTAGATAAAGTTGTATCTTTTTTAGGTTAGTTTTGTATTATAATTTTGATACTTTCGTTTTAATTTTCTGTAATTAACTAAACAGATATTTTTTATAAAATATTGCTCTATTTCAGATAACTGTGATGGTGATATTCAACCAATAATGGAGGAGATAAATGCAATAAAAACTTTAGAAAAACAAGAAATGCTGAATTCGGAAACGCAGTACTTACAAAAAATTTCTTCAATGACAGGTCTCTTTTCTTGTTTTGATTTAAGATAGATTGATAGTATTCCTATAATATTTACATAGGTTTTTTATGATGTATTGGTTTTTATTGTTGACATCCAATGATGTCATAAGAATGTTTTGTTTAACAAGGAAATTCACAGAATTCATGAAACTAATCAAACCATGTAATTGTTATACATGCTAAATATGCACATAAACTTAACTAAATTAAACATAAATTGCATTCATAGTTGAATAGGTATTTAAATTATTTTGATGTATGTGTCTATCATTATTTGCTTTTAAATACATTTAACATATCTTTGTTTCAAAGTGTTTAATCTTTTATAGATGTAAGTATAAGGACACTAAGAAGGATAAAAAATGAAGCATTAATTAATAAAGGAAAATGGGACACTCCTGGGAAAAAACGACCTCATCAACCAACAGTGTCTGCTTTAGATAATTTTGATTTAAGTGCAATTCGGAATAAAGTAAATGAATTTTACTGTGTGAAAAAAATTGTTCCAACATTAAGAAGCCTTCACAATGAATTAAAAGATGCAATAGGATTCAGTGGTAGCCGTGAGACTTTACGAAAAATTATGCTTAAGAATGGATTTTCTTTTAAAAGCAATGAAAATGAACGTTCTATGCTTATAGAAAAATACCAGATTTCTGCATGGAGGCACAAGTATTTGAGAGAAATAAATATAAAACGAAACGAAGGAAAGCAAATTGTGTACCTTGATGAAACTTATGTACATCAGAATTATAAAGTTAAAAAGTCTTGGCAAGGACCTTCAACAACTGGTGTCACTACAAAGATATCCTCTGGAAAACGGCATATTGTTGTGCATGCTGGATCTGAGGAAGGTTTTGTGCCTGGTGCATTATTAGTGTTCAGTAGTAAATCCAAATCTGCTGATTATCATGATGATATGAACTCATCGAACTTTATGAAATGGGTCAGAGAAAAATTAATACCAAATTTAAGTAAGCCCAGTGTAATTGTTATGGATAATGCCAGCTACCATATAAAACAAATCAATAAACCGCCTATAATGTCTAATACCAAAGCAGATATCCGTAAATGGCTTGTAAATAATGGAATACATTTTGAGGAATATCAGACAAAGGCAGAGTTAATGTGTTTGGTTAATGATAAGAAAACATTGCCTGTATATGAAGCTGAAGAGATTTTAAAAGAACATAATCATGAACTTTTATTGCTGCCACCGTATCATTGTGACTTAAACCCAATAGAGATGGTTTGGAGTCAAGCAAAAAGAAAAATTGCAAGCAGAAACATTGGAATACCAGGAAAGGAAATGGAAAACTTAATAATAGAGTGTTTTAACTTAATTACCCCTAGTGACTGGAAGAAATACACTGATCATGTTTTAAATGTCGAAAATGATTACAAATTAAAAGATGGCATTGTTGAAAACGAACTTGAAAAATTTATTATATCTGTTGGTGCAGACAGTAGTGAAGAGAGTGACTCTGATGATTCCTTGTCATTGTTATCAGGTGTAGAATATTTAGAAACAGATTTTGACTATGAATCAGACTAAAGTATTTTTAGTCTGATTCATAGTCAAAATCTTATCTTAAATTTTCTATTGTGATTAACATGATGATTTTGTGACACCTGTATTATGTAATTTATCCATGGCACTTAATTGTAACAAAAATAAATGTTTTTTTTATTGTAATCTGGTGTTTATATTGACTAATTTAATTTGATAGATAGTGGTTCTGGATCAGAGCAAAAGGTTGTGATGAAAATCCCTTAGGAGACATGTATGTGTTATGAACACATTATAAATATAAGGGCCAGAAATCAAAATTGGCTAACATCACATTTATTAAAAAAATGTGGCCAGAGTCGCCCATATTCATTACAAAAAAACAAAGAAGTCGTTGCAAAAAACACCCTTTTAATTAATGACAAATATGAATTTTTAATATTATAAGTGCTGTTAGCCAATAGGTATAACGAATGGGTTAAAAAAAAGATTCGATTTAGTCCGTCAGTCAGATAATAGAAAAATATTGGATACGTATTTTTTTTCGCTTTAATTTAACAACAAATGGCTTAAGAGGTACTATGCGACGACTTCAAATATGCTTTGCAACAATGTTACTTTAATACAGTTTATCGATACGAAATCAAGTGTCAAAATGGAGTCCAGTGGAGAATGCCGATATTGACATTTCGAAATTGCTCATCATTGATAGAGAATACGAAATAGTGATTTTGACACAATCAAAGTGTCTATTTTTTACGGTGATGACGATTCTTGGTTGTCAGTTGAGTTAGTGAATAGGCCTACTGATATGCTGTTAACTGTACAATTAAGAACAGTCACGCTTTAGTCAAATGTTCCAAAACAAATAATTTTAATTGATATCTAAATGTTAAGATTAAATATAATTAATAAAAGTATCAAAATTATTTTGCAGTACTACATTCAGTGTTTACTGCTTAAGAATTTTTGAAATTGCCGCCCTTTTCTTGTGACACGTTTCGCTTGCCAGACTCTAATAGGACTGGGAAAGAAAATTCCAGCTGCTCCTATCAATCGGTGTACCGATTGGAGGACTGGGAATAACCGGAAGAAACACAATTCACCATCATCGGCCTATTAATTATGATATAATGACGATTATATGATTATTGTTATTTAGTTGTTTCTTTTTTGCTAATCCTTTTATTTTTCTTAAGTAGAGCGTCACCACCTGAAGGGAGATTCACGCTGCCGTTTTCTGCAGCATATGATGAGTTGGCATCTTTTGTACACCATATGGGATAGGTACACTTTGTAATTGTTTATTGTGTAATTGTTGTGGTATCTTCATCATCATCAGCTCTTTTACCTTCCCACTCCAGGGGTTCAGGCTTATGGATGGTCAAGGAGGACGGTTCATGACACTCCACGCGGGCCCAATGCGGATTGGTAAGTGTGAGTGTTCAATAATTTTAACTACCGCCGTAAACAGAACTAAGATCAATTAAAATAAGACATTTCAGGTCGATTCAAATTCGATTCACACTCGAATCACACTATGAAAAAACACATTTCGCACACACAGCAGGAAGTCAGGTTACCACAATATATCAAATTATCGCAATTGATTTTCAACTCTACCCTTAATGAATCATGGTTTAAAATCAAGTAAAGTTTGCATAACCTGACGCTGTTGACTATACCTAGGGAATGCAACATCGTTAATGGCACATCGATGGCACGTGACCACCATCAATGACGAGAATGTGACCACATTAATAGCGTATATCTCGCTAGTTCGTGTCCCGGCCAGTAACAGGCGTTTGTCCCCGCGAAGGGTCGGCGACTCCATCAGCTCCAGAGAAGTTATGGAGCCGTCTAGTTTAGTGCTCTTGAGCTGGATGACAGATTATGAAAAATGTAGTAGAATTATAATAAAGACAGGAACTTAAACAAATTCCTACTAGGGAAAAAAAATGTTGGACGATTCAAAAGTACTTTTAAGAAGTCTATTTGAATAAAGATTATTTTGACTTTGACTTTGCCTTTGACCTAGTATAGTGATCATGATTCGCAGGATGAGAAAATTACAACTTAACTGGTTTGTGATCATAACCTGGATTTGTTCAGGATTAGGATAAACTGTAGTTGTAGTTTAATCATACTCTGGCGGGATCCTCCTGTCTGTCTGTCGGAAAATGGAAATGTCCTGCCTTTATCATAATCCTGCGGCATATATAAATAGAAATGAATAGCCTAATGTGTTGTTAAGAATTAAATTAGAGAACAGCTTAACGAATTCGGATATATTTCCATAATTCCGTTGAACCGAAAAATTGCGAGAGTAAAAGTAAAAAAGACATTTCTACATAAACTATATAGTTAATTAAAACATCTGTATTTATTTAAGCAAAAGAAGTAGGTGTGCTATTTTTTTAATTTATGATTGACTGACTTAACTATGGGTTGCTGTGGCTAATATAAATAATTGAGATAAAAACTATCCTATCTTATAACTTATAGTCACATGTGAAATGTGATTGAAAACGATTCAATAGTTTCAGTTATCAAAGACATGCATCGTGAAACGAGATCTTTTTTATACATAGATTTATTTATTAACTATACTTACTGCTCTGAAAAACGGTTTGCTGGGGTTGACAATTTTGCCTTTGGGAAATTCACCCTTCCAATTGATTTCGTCGAGCAGATCCACGGTACCATCGCCAGCGCCCACTATAAGGCATCCGTCTTCCATTATCAAGATCGATTGAATACCTATAATCATGACATAATGAAAAAATATTAAAAACAAACATTAGATCCGGAAATCTTCAAACACTTCATTATTAGTTTGAACATACTGTAACATTGTTTTAATTTAGACATTTAAATTAATTAAATTGAAGATATGTATAAATAGATGACATACTATGAATGAGGAAGTATTTAAAAAAAAACGAACGCACTAAAGAGGTCCTCCACTAGATGGCGACTCTAGCAAAAGTTGATTTTTGCAGGAAACGAATGGACCAAAGGCAGTAATTTTCGTTCCTTTTACTAACATAATAAAAAAAACTGAAGTTTGAAAAGTTCGAAACCTAGATATCAATACAAATACGAAAAAGTACAAATAAATACGTGTTGTTTATTGAGTTTTGAAAATTAATTTACTTTTAAACTTTAAAGTAAACCGGATAGGTTGTCATGGAGAAATCAAAAACGTACCATAGCGACATCTAGTTTGATTTCGGGAACTAATGTTTTTCTTGTATACTTCCTCATTGTGAACTGATATAGTTTGTATATAACAATACTCTTATAAATGGCTAATATATACATTTAAATTATCAGAAATACAGCTTTGCTAATGAGCAAAATTTGTCTAATGAGACAAAGACCTCTTTAAAATCTGCCGATAGAAGCCTCGCAATAGCGACGATAACTAATTTTTGTTTGTTTGTTCGTCATTTTATTTTTCATTCGTTTTTTTATTATTTTTTACTTAATCAATAAATTAAGGCGATACATTGAGTTGAAATATCAATGTCACGCTTTTGTACATTCTCTACAGAGCTGTGTCGTGGAGAACTCGACTTTAATGCCTATTATTTAAGGCTTAGTTTTTTTTTTTACCCAATCATCATCCCTTATTCTAAAAGCCTCCACCATACCTCTTAAAATAAATCAAATAGCGATACCTTGACTATAACATTCGGCTTCTGGATTTCCACCCTTCTTCCAGACTCCACATTTAGCGAGGCAGCCGATTAGCGTAGGTTTGCAATGAGTCACAGACGCAGCCGGATCCGGAGGGTAGTTTATAGAGAACTTTATCATATCACCAGTGCTATAAAATTAAATATTAATTTAAACTCAAAAATTAAACATGATATTTTATAATTTTGTTCTGTTAACTCAAATAATTATTAGAAATGATAATTATAATAATAGGGTAGAATAAGGAACATAACATTATTTGCTACCTAGAGGTGGGCGCTAATGGTTGCACTTCAGTTTTCTTTTTTAAACTACTGCGACTGTTATAGTACACTATCAATCACCAGCCCTTTTACGTCCCCACTGCAGGGGCTCAGGCCTTCCTTATGGATGGTTAAGGAGGATGGGCCATGACCCTCCACGCTGGCCCAATGCGGATTGGAGGGTATTACACTATATTTTTGTTAAACTATTTGTTCCAATAAATACATTTTTATTTCTTTTATTTTTTTGTAAACAAGTTACAGTAGCCTGGGAAGGGTTACTTCCCATATCATATTATAAAACTGTGATAGTAATACTCGTATATTCGACGAGGGGAATTCGACATTATAAGGGGAATTAAGACTTAAAGAGTTATAGTTGAGTCGTCACCATCAGCCTGTTAAAGTACCTACTACTGCTGGTGGATAGGCCTTTCTTATATATGGAATTTCCCGGAGGTTCATAACTCAGTCTTCCAATGTCCCATCCACCACCACGCGGGCCCAATGCGGATTGCTGGTTACAAGACGACTGAGGGGCTTAACGTGCTTTTCAAAGAACGGAGAAGTTAGATTAACCAATTCTTGCTCACAGATCCAATTAACGGTTTTTACTTAAGTTATTAAGTACTCGCTCTAGCAAATGGTGGTTGTAAGAGGCAGAAAAGGATAGAGCGACTGAAAAAGGCGACAGATGTAGTTTGACAGATATATAAACTACATACTACTATAGTCTTGGACTTGATTATCTCAGATCGAAGGCAGTAACATTAAGCAAACGAGACTGTCCTTTATCAGTAGGTATGTACATACTAAAAAAAAATACTAACGTAGTTCCAGCGTATCCATAAGCATCGTCGATACTGACGGCTATGCAGCGAACGCTACGCCTCAGCTTGCCCAGACCGACGTCGACCACATCTAAATTCTTCGACTCGGCGCGAATATTCCACACACGGAGATTGGCTTCAAATTGATAAAATCAGAATGTCATCGTCATTCTTATTATAATAGATCGCGCCGAAGGATGCGGAGGAGACGGAAGTTTTGTATTAAAGTTCCCCACATCAGTACAGTAAGTTCAAACTTATGTGGTGTATGGTGAATCTTAGTTTGCGTAATCTACCAATACTGACGATGACGATTTCGATTTATAGTGAGCCTTGTTACAATAACCATAAGGTGTAAATTCAACGCATTATGTGTCTATCACACTGACAATCAGAGCGGGGATTAGACGCGACGATGTGATACTTGAATTATTCTGATAGATCTACATTTGCCAGGTTTCGAAATATTCTTTTAATTAGGTACATCAGTAGGCCACATTCAGGTGTAGGTAAAGAATTCTTCCCTCAGCTTGGTTCTAACAAAGTGCTAAGGAACATTTTAAGTATCCCAATTGAATTCTCTACTATTCGGCCACCGATGTATTCATATATCGTGTATTGCAGAGCCCTAGACCTCCCTCAGGACAACTGGCCATACCCAACTAGGTGGGTCTAGTCCGGACTACAGATGCAGCCTCAAAGAACGGTTTAATATGCCTTCCGAAGCACGGAAGAGCTCGATATAATAAATTTTCAAGACAGCCATCACGACTGGCCCTTGCTAACTTTCAACAGAACGAACTCACTAACCAGGCTAATGAAATGCTAAAAACACCTAGTATAGTTCGGTTACTCACAATCTCCTCCTGTTACAAAACTGTTGGGTCTCAGGTGGAGTGTGGTGAGCGTCATAGCATCACCGGTGGTGAGCTTGGTCGCCGCTGCTGTGCCAGTGGCGGCTCCCGCGAAGCAATCCCAGAGTACCACGCAACCGTCATCGCGTCCACCCAGAGAGATCATATACCGCTCATCAGATGAGAAAGTCAACGCTTCTACTCGAACCTATGTTTACATACGTGATATGTTTTTATCGCCCGATATCGCTATGTATTCTATTCATAGGCAGAGCTTGTGCCCTATTTTGATTATAGGTAAATTTTAACATCGTCAAGAGACACGTATATACAATATATTCTGTGCATGTACACGCATGCACCACAATATTACAATTTCTGCAATTGATTTTGTACTATATCATCAAGGTAATAAGGTTTAAAGTAGAATAGACAAATTTGACATTTTTATTCAACCTAACATGCTAAATTGACTGTACTAACTTTATGCAATTCATGGCTGCCAAGCATTGTCTTCTTTTTAAAGTCCCACAATTTAGCAGCAGCTTTGAAACCAATATGATTGATTTGGCCAGAACCCACAAATGTGCCTTTAGGGGAAATGGCCACTGTGGACACACTATTAGTGTGGCCACTAAGAAAATACATTTTCTTTGTTTTCCACTCTTGGATGCAGACTTTGTTGCCCATTGGGTAAGCGATATGCTCACCATCAGGATGAACTTTCAGTCCTCGTATTGCAGAGCCTAAAAAGTAAGAATGCGACATTGCATACTTTGTAAAAGTTGACAACAATGTAAACAAGTCATTAGATTAAAATTAAAACTGATTTACATGTAAATTTTATGTACAGAATATAAATGCTTCTTTTACTACACATAAAGATAAATGACAGAAAAAGTAAGGATTGTAATCTTTAATTAGATAATTAAACATTATGAAATGTTTAAGAATGAAACAAATTAAATTAATTGAAAATAATTAGTTTCAAATATCAAGAAGGTACATGATAATTTTAACAATGTCTAAAAATTTATAAATTATATTTACCATCAAACCCTATTATTGCATAAGTCTCCAGATTTTTCACATCCATTTCTATTAAACAACTAATCTTAATAAAAATTTGTTATTTAAAATTCTGTAAAAAATAAATCAGTCCAACTTCAGTCTTTAACACTTGTTGTTTGACTGTTGCCAAGCAACATAAGACGTTTGTTTGGCAAAAGATAATAATGTGACAGTCACCATGGAGCCGAAAATACTCATGGTAAAAGTAAAAAGGTAATACATTTTGCTTTATGAAATTAAAGTAGGTAACAAACTTGAAATGTAAAATTTGAGACAACAGATTATGTACAAAAAGCTGTTTTCAATGGTGAATTCCATGAATATTTGTATTTAAAATAAAATATTACAGCTCAATTTAAAAAAATATAGTTTTATTGTTTACATACAGTTAAAATCACTAAACAATACTTTACACAATCTTAATGTACATTTATCTTAATTATTCACTTTCTAGTTATGCATCGTCTTCTAATAGTCTTGGATTTTTCCTCAATTTGTTCCTTTGTGACTTCTGCTAACTGCTTTGTCTTATTGATCATATATTGTTTTACAATAGAAAGGAACTCTGATAGCTGGAAAAAAGTTTAATATTCAATGAAAAAGGTTGTAATGTTCCAATATCTATATGTAATTAAACTATGGTTAAACAATACGAACAATGATAGAAAAATAAGAGAAAAAGTAGAAAGATCGAAGATGTTTACCAATAGATCATCTTCCTTCTTCCCTATTTGTACAAAGGCACATTTAGCTGCGTGACTTTTGTGTTCTGCCCAAGGGTCATCGCTGGGTTCCCAACCATCTAACTCTTTTCCACAAAGAAAACACTTCGCAGCGTCTGCATCTTCATTACCAGTAGCAACTGAATAGAACCCTGCCTCTGCCATATTACGAATATTACACTGGTTTTTCTCGTTATAGGGCCACATTTTGAAAGTCTTGATTCTTTCATCTACTAAATATAACGGTAGACTCTCCATTTGTAATAATATATCTAGAATTAAAAAATTTGCACAACAAATTGCATCCAATTTACTGAAAAAAGGTAGATAAAACTATAAGTTTGTTTGTTACTATTTTTTAAGTGATAAAACTAAATATATTAAACAATTCCAAATATCCGTTTCTATTTGAATTTGACATAATCACACAGTAGTAGTTTTGTCCATGGGACAGGCGAAGGTACTAAGCCATACAGCCACATCTTGGGTTAGCACAGTCACAATGAGGAAGTATTTAAAAAATAAAAATTAGTTCTTGAAATCATACTAGATGTTTAGATTTTGTTTATGATATTCATTCAAATTTGTTTCTGACGTAATAAAAGTAAATTGGATATTTAAGGGAACGTAACGACCTAACGCACACGACACTACCGCAGAGATTTCTAACAATAAGAGAGCATGACATATTTAGAAAAGAATATATTTCAATAAAACTGATTTCTAGAGTAAGTTGTGTATGAAGTCAATATATTATTAACAATATTATTGTAAGGACCAAAAACCACATAGCCACCGTATGAATTAACTTAACACATGGCTCGACGTCCGTCGTCGACAAGCAAGATCAGTAGCAATAGTATAATAACTGTACGTGTCTTTGTGATTTTGAAATTTAAAGTTATAACCTTGCTCTTCTTTTAGAACAAGCGTTTCTTGTTGATTGCTGAATGTTTATTAAGATGATTTAATTATGAATATAAGATTTAATAACTGATCATAGTTTTTTAAAGTCTTAATTTCGAAAGCACAAGTTATTTGGACGTTACACTTTGCACAAACGTCATTTTAGTCAGAAGTCATGTTATTTTGTACGAGTACCTAGTGTATTTGATACATATCGGGTAAGTATATAGATAATAAACGGATTTTTCACTTCCACTATAAAGAAAATTATTATGGCATCTAGACTTAATCTTTTATTTTCCATCAAAGTTTCAGGTCTGAAAGTTCCCCCGTTTAAAGAATTCTGTTAAAAAAATGGTATGCTTTTCTAGAAATATTAGTACGCACAGCCATAAAACTCATTAAAAAAATAAAATGCAGAAAATTAAAACCAACACAAAGGGATCTTTGTCCACAGCCTATCTTTCGGTAGGGTACTTTGGGGTAATTACGTAAGTGGGGAAATTCCGATAATGAAATTAAAAAAAGCAATATGTTTGTTGTAATTAAAATATTTTTCAACCAGTGAAAGCTTGTTTAAAAGTCAACTATACCGACACAAAATGCCTGATTTTTTGTTAATTCGTTACCCTCAGACATCCCGAATTTGTCTGTTTTGTATATAAAGCACCTTATAATAACTTAGCATCCCTAGTAGACGAATCATATATCATTAATGTGAAAATCGATTCATAATTGATTTACTATGTGTTTATTATAATAAGCCACGCACTGAATAGACTCAAACTGGGCCTAATCTGCGTTGACAAGCTTCGATTCATGTAAAATATCTTTGTATTTGGATTTAGAGGTCTGAAATTACAATAATTAATAGAAAATAAAAATATTAATTCCACATTTCCAAATAGATTGATTCACAGCATGAATTGGAACGTAACTTAGGAATGGGGTTGCCATAGATTTTCTTAATATACTTACGTATTGCTACATACATTATATAATATCCACCAAATGATGCTCAGATCAGAAAATAAACATTTTGGTGGCGCCTAAAAATAAAATAAAATGATGATGAGCAAGGTTTATTTACTCTCTATCGATTAATATACTTTATGCTTGGTTAGAAATTATTTGAATAAAGTATCAGCCTCCATACAAAAAAGTTCTCCTTAAGTAGCGTAATGATATAGTGAATCACTCAGTAGAACGTCATATTAAGCTATCCTGTGTGGAGCTAAATAGTATAATTGTAGTATGTGTATACCGACATAGTGACTATGGAACTTTTGAATCTGTAATGGAAGATGTACTTAGGAAATTTTGGTTCTAAATTTATTCAAAATTTTATGCCAACATATCGATACCGAGTCTTTAAAAAAAATTTATATCGAGTGATCGATGTATCGAACATCCCTAGAAACGTTCGCAATCGTTTCATTCCATCATTCCTTCCAAATCAAATCATTCATTTTTTGAGAGTGAATCAGAGTGAATTCTATGTATCGTTTTTTTCCTTGCCTGTAATAGGGTCTTTCTTTATTTTCTAATTTGCTTGAAAGACAAATTAGACTGAGCTAGTTAGATATAAAAAGTTTGAAAATAATCGAAATATTGTATCTTATAGAGTACTTGTAGATATCGAAAAGAAGTGCCTAAATATTTAGTAACAGCGATCGGTTATTGTTTCTCTAAATAATTATTACCTTTCATTTGTTTTCGTTTAGTGATTTGTGTTGTTACGCGGGTCTTGCCATGGTCCGAGCTGTTTTCTAGCATCGTCCAGTTGTGAATAATATTTTGGTAAGTGTTACTTGCGTAACTCTGCTTGTATTTTTATTTATATTTTGTTCATGTGTTTGTAATAATTATTTGTTCTCAATCTCTGTTAACTAAGCGTTTGCACAAGAACAGTAGAACCAAAATCAGGTGAGTTGCTTGTTGTTGTTTTACACTAAAATAACAATAATAAAACGAAAACTACAATGACACTCTCAAATTGTAATGAATAACACTAAAGTTATGCAACAGAAAGGTTACTGTAGTGGAGGTTCTATATTGATTAAATATGAATATAAAATATCCATAAATTAAGCTTTTTAGACTAAGAACCAACTTGGAATTTTTGAAAATAGAACATAATACATTTTTATAAAGATTTTGTTTCATCAATTATTTGGTAAATGGTGACTATTGCATAAATTACACCTTAAATTTACACAAACAAAAATGCTATTTGGCATTCTCTAACAGTTAACCAGGGATTTGTGTATTATAGATGCTTGATGAATTGTGTTACAAAAAAATAAAAAAATGATAAAATAACCAATGTATACACAGAATAATTACTAACATCTAGATAAACAAAACATTGTTACTGCCAGGTTAACCTCAGGTTAATCACATGTAACAGGAGAATGTAATTTTAGGTGAAAATGTTTTGAAAAAGTGGAACATGAACTGAGGATTGAATACAAAACAGTTTTGGTGCATTTGAAAAAAGCTGGGTACACAAATAATTTGGATATTTGGTTATCTCACAAGCTCACTGAAAGAAACCTAATGAAATGAATACTTATTTGTTGTGGCGTAATGAAACTGAATCATTTTTGAAGTAGTTGATAACTGGTGATGAAAATTGGATCACATATGTCTCTTCAGAATTCTTTAGGCAGTATCAGGTTAACATCATGCGAGGACTGCTAAAATCACTTGTTGCAGTTTTTTTTTTGTCAGAAATTCCATCATTTCTGTTGCAATCTAATCATGTCCCTACCTACTAGATGGTAAAAAGTTATTGAACAAAATGGTACTTACTAATTTTAGTTAAATGTAAATAAACTTTGCACATAAATTTCATTTTCAGCTACAAGTTCTCATAAAGAGATGGGGGATTCGAATATGCTTTGTTCGCTTAAGGAATGTGGGGTTGTGTGCTAAACAAACTGCTGCTTCATTACCTATGCTCAAAGTCGGTATACATTTCAATGTTGCGAGTTCCTTGTTCCTCATTAAACCCTCGCTTAAGCTAAACTGGCTATCTGGTTGCCTCACTAGCCGCTTCTAACATGTACTCGGTCATTGAGATAGTTACTGAGACTTGTCATTCACTAACCCAGGTAATGGTACCTCCAGCATAATGACACCTGTGGTAGATCGTCCGTTCGTCATATCACCACCAAGATTTGCCTAGCTGATTCCTTCTGGTATTGCAGCTTAATGTCCAAATCTATTGTTAGATTTTCTCGCAAATTGTTAAGAAACTCGTTTTCGACTTCTCATCTGTCGCTACTAGTCCATCATCGACAAAGAGCGTCAGAAGAATTTTCTTACCATCGTTATTCTTCGTATAAAAACACGGATAACCTGAACTTCGTTCAAGTTTTAATTCTTTAATTATGTCGTGGTGATTCCAACATCTAGAAGCCTCCAGTTCCAGTCCATAAAGACTGCAGTTCAGGCAATAAACTCGGTTCGTGCCGTCTTCAGAACCCTCGGGCTGTTTCATATAGTTCTCCCGTTTCGAAATAACGGTGAAGGTTGTGACGTCGAATTAAGCATTGACCCTTGCTCAACAACCCGTAAAGTCCATGTTCTATTTTTCTGGAGTAAGTTATAAAATAGAGGATATTTCACTTTCAATCGCTTTGTATCAATTATCTTTGTCAAAACCACAGAACACAGAAAGACGTTTTCCGTGTTCTGTGGTCAAAACTGAGCATTGCCTCTTTTAGGTTAAGGGCTCCGGTGTATCGTTTTTAAGAATCACCATAATATAATCTTCGGGTTATTCATGCCCACAAGTTGTTATATGACAAACATATTGAATACATCGTCAATAAATCTTATAAAGCTCTGGTTATTTTAATTAGATTTTAGTAGTATACGGTTTTCGATAGAGGTGGTTGGCAGCCACCTCTGAATTGCAGGGCCTCACTTGTCTGGGAGAGGCTCTCGATGGACCCGAGCCTCTCCATCTGCGATGGGACCTCTCAATAGTCTTATGTTACTCTTTTTGTTTTTTTTTTCTTTTTACATTTAAATAGCTTTACTTTAAAATTGGTATTTGCAGTCTTCACTGGAGTTCATTTACCGGTCATGAGGTTCGTGCAATATTACATGAGTCTGAGGGTCGGTGCAAAATTGTTGGAGCTTAGTCAAGCAACACACGGAAGTATATATTAGTGCACGATTTCTGTCGAGTGTGCAAGATCGAATTAATTATTATTTATTTTTATGTTCTCTGACGATACGTGGCGGTATGTCTGTCGACCCTAAGACTTTTTTTGACAAACAAACACGCAGGAAAGGACAGGAAGCGCTCGGTCACAGGAGATACTCGACTGGCGCTAAGCGTATTTAAATGCCCATCGCGACGCTCATGCACTATCAAGTTGAATCTGGAGCATTCATTGTTAGGGAAAATATCTTGAGTTCTCAGAGAACTCATTCAGCAAGCATTTGATCATAGAAAACTCCTGAAGATAATTTAGCACGTCTATCTGCTGATCGTAACACATATGCAGTATGGTTTGAGTCTGAAATTTCTTTTGATAGAGATAGCTCGGACTTTGTAGCATAGAGAGTGAGAAAGTAGTTTCGATTATCGCCAATCGGCGTTGCCTTCAACCTGCCTATATCCCACAAGCGTATCTATATAATTAACTGTAGTATGACGTGGCTTTCCGTAGGTGAAAGAATTTTAAAATTGGTTTAGTTTCGGAACCAATTCGATGCAAAAAACAATGAAATTTTTCCTCTTTTTAAGATTATAAGTTAGCGCATTTTGTTTATGATGCGGTTATGTAAGTAATTAAATTCTTAATTGCACAATAAGAAAATGACACAGACATACATATATATTTTTCATTCATAACATTCATAACTATGTACTAAAGACAAATAGCGCTGGCCAGCGATTTCTTTTAGGCAACCTAGTATTGAATGGAAAAACATCACCAACAATAATAGATTGCGCATACAACTAGACAGATAAACAAATGAGATTTTAAAAAGATCAAAATCAAAAGAAGAACCTTTGAAACATCGTAAGTATCACTAATACGAGTATACCTAATGTACGATAAAAATGGTCAGTCACAAAAGCAGAGAGAGAAATGAGAAAAAAAAATATCGGGTTGGCACAAAAGTAATGAGACACTTGGTTTAAGTTTTTACTTTTTTATTATTATTACAATAAAAAAAGTTTAGTCAATGATGTAATTACCATTAGTATCTAAGACTTCTTGCCAACGATCCGGCAAAGTTTGGATGCCTTTTGCCCAGAACTGATGGCTGTGCCTCGAAAAAGTTGTTCAACTCCGCCTCTACGTTAGAGAAATCATTAAATTGTTTACCCCGCAAATGCTGTTTCAGGCCTCTTAACAAATGATAGTCTGATGGGGCGAGGTCTGGGGAATAAGGTGGGTGGGGTATCGTCTCCCAGCCCAAGTTCTCCAACTGCCGGCGAACCACAGATGCGACGTGAGGTCGAGAGTTATCGTGCAGTAAAACTACTTTGACTCGTCTTCGTCGTTTTTTCTTGATAGCGGCAGATAATTTGGTAAGCTGGGTTGAATATTTGTCAGCGTTTATAGTTTCATTGTGTAATAGCTCATAAAACAGTATGCCTTGCGCATCCCAGAAACAGCAAAGCAGAATTTTTCGGCGGTTCTTTTGACTCGGCTTCGGTTGAGTTGGTGGCGTTTCTTCTCGAGGCAGCCAAAAAGCACGACGTGTATCGTTCTCGTAATAAATCCATGATTCATCTCCAGTAACCAGATCTGACAAAAACTCTTTACGTCGGGGTCGCAGCAAAAGTGACTGACAGATAGTGACACGGACTGCACGACTGGCGTCTGTAAGGATGTGCGGTACCCACCGAGCCAAAACTTTTCGATAATCAAGCTCATGCAGATGGTGTTCCACGGCGTGGTGACTGCATTTAAGTGCTTCCGCTGATTCACGAGTGGTAGCATCCGGATTCAACTGCAGTTCGCGGCGCAAATCGTCATCATTCACTGCGGGTGGTCGCCCTGAGCGTGGCTAACTTTCAAGGCTCCTGTCTCCTGATATAAAACGGTTAAACCATCGGGACACCGTCGCATGGCTTGTACTTCCAGCGCCTAATGCATTGTTGATATTGTCAGCCGCAGCCCGCGCACTGTGGCCTAACAAGTACTCGTATAAGTATAGTGTTCGAACTTGTCGCTCGTCCATTTTTCTTCAAACTGACTAAACAAATCGCGAGCTCGGCTTTATATACCCTACACCAGAAGTACCTAGAATGTTCTACAACATTCTAGAATATTATCGAAAAAATTGATTTTAAAAAGGAAATGTTATAGATTTTTCTAGTGTGTCTCATTACTTTTATGCCAACCCAATATATAGAAATATAACTATCGTAAGGGCCGTTCATAGGATGGATGACTAAAACATTATTATCGTGAGCTCCTCCGTGCTTCAGAATACAAGTTAAGCCGTTGGTCCCAGCTGCATTAGCAGTCGATAACATCAACAAATTCGCATTGGCCCCACGTAGTGCTTTATGGACCATTGGTCCTACTCGATTCGATACCAACCATAGGAAAGAAATAATTCTCCAATACTTTCTCACGCAGACGAAGTCGCGGGCACAGCTAGTGATTTATATGTTTCTCGCTTGGAAAACATTCAGAAGAAATTTGTTCGTTTTATTTTCGCCCGTTTCAAGATTCCCATGTCAATCTACGAACAGGCTTGCTCACATTTGCATCTCTTTCCCCTGTAATTGCGCAGAAAAATCACTGATGTTTGTTTTC